TAAAAAAGCATCGCGGTTGCATGTTTAAGACTCTGCGAGAAAAAAAATTATATAACTCGTTTCGATCACTCGCCCAGAATTTTTAACATCTATTAATATATACGTTCCGAGAGAAGCGAACAATTCTGCAATTCATAAAGAACTATCCTGTTTGTACACATCTTACTGCTGAAATGGTAAAAAAGGGTTAATGCATAAACGAATCGAGTTAAATGGAAAAAAAAACATTGACAATCGATGCAGTTGTATGTGCCGGATTATCGAAATCGCATATCATCGAAATCATGACTCGAATAAGGATCTCGATATCGATGTATTATTATGAATGATATCACATCAATCGCTGCGTAACGGTAGATTATATCGTCGATACATTGTCCGTATTTGAATGTGGCAATTGATGACGTGTCCAAACAAACGTATCATTATCGAGTCGCAATCTCTTCCGCAAGTCCGATCTTGAACTTGAAATTCGTGTTTTATTTATATAAAAATACACATATTCAACATTTAATTACGCGTTTACTGTACTTCTGTCGAACTAATTAATCAAATGAAGGAAAGTATAACGTTCCTTGTTCGTAATATATATATAGAAATATGAATCTATTTATAGATAAGTAAAATTAAAAGTTGAGAAAGCAAACATCGCAAAATTAAAAATAAAGCAGAAGGAAATTTTTATTTGGAAATAATTTTGCGGGCACGAGATAAGCAGTTTACTTTGATCGTTGATTTTCGTACATTTAGCGAACAGAGTTTGCCTGGGTCAGGAAATTTTAGGACTGTGCACACGACAGTGCACGACAGCTTCTGTTTCTCGTTACATTATATTTAGACTTGACGTAGGAAAGAGGAGGCAGCTTCCGCCTCGACATAGAATTGGCTTAGGAAGGCGTGTTACCAATTTCACGGCGTATGATAACCATAAAATCTGTCAAAATGATCGTATTTAACGATCGATGAACGTCCAAGAAAAAGAATTACTAAATGATAAATGATCATTAAATAATTAATGATATCCACAGTTACGAAAATAGATAATAGTCTCTATTGGATTGTTTACTTATCTAACCAATGGAGGAACTAACAAGCTTTAATGGATTTATGCTGCTAAAGTGGTAGTTAAATGGATCCAATAATTAATGTAATAATTAATGTACCTATAATATATAGTATTTAAATGGATCCTCAGTAGAGTTTAAAATACTTTGTGTATCTCATGTTAAATATAACAATGAAAACACATGATAAGAATTGCAAGATATTGCGTTATACATAAAAATAGAATGAGTTTCTCAAGACTTTTATCTGCGGTAATCGAAAAATCTTCTCGTCACGTGGCGCCGGGAGAAGCTTCATTACCGTGACGAATGAACAGGTCATTTAAGAGCATGAATGACACTTCTTAAGTAGGTTTTAAAGCGTATCTCTCGTGCCTGTCAATGAGGTGTGATTCCATACGGTTAACACATGTCGTGTCAAGAAGCATTGCTTTATGTGTTAAAATATAGCAATTGTTATATTAAACACTTCTATTTTTGAATACACATCTCTATGAGTGCTTCACAAATATTCTCCGTTATTTTATATTCATATATTCCGTAACCAGTTTTTGGTGGATTTATATTTAATTATTAGGATTCTATATATGAGTATATATAATGTCATTCATTGTTTTTAGATACTTTCCACGTCTCTTAAAAGATTAAAGAAGATTTCTGATAAGATTATACATAAAAGGATATTTCACAATGGCAACTATACATACGTTTTATGTTGATGAAGAATATGGAAATATCCAATTTTTAACATGTGTACATCGTTCATCACATAGCGCGAATAATACGCGGATTACAACGCGACGCGTATAATATTACAACATCGGCCTTGGGCCATAAGCTTTATACATATACGGAGGTATTGCCTGACTGATGTGACGTCACGAATCTCCACTTGAGTCATATAGTGGTCCAGGAGTCGGCGTGTCGTGTACAAAAGATACATACAGATATCAGAATGACCATTTTTAGTGTATCTTAAAAAGCATGGAAAGATAAAATTAATGCATTTGAAGATTTAGTATATAAATACTTGTAAGTAATAAAAGAAATCTCAAATATGTATGTTTTTCTAAAAAAAATATTTAGGAATTTATAAAAGACAAAAAATAAAAATGATTCTGAATAAAAATAAAAAATCATTCTGAACATCATAGATATTCCAATAAAAATCTCATTTATCTACAGATCAAATTCGACCTTAATGTTTGGAACGTAAATATTTATAATAAAAAGAAATGGAAAATGTATAATAAAAAAGTAATTTTGATATATGTCGATACGTTGTTTTTCATTTATACCATAATACTTTCAAAAGTGGTATAAATTATCTCAATTAAGAAAGAATTGGATTTTTCAATTTAATATTCTCGATTCTGCAGTCTTAAATTGATTATATGTAATATAATTACCACATTTTTATACATTTGATCGAGATGTAATTGATTGCTTAAATAATGTAATGGATAATTAGCAATTTTGTAGACTACAATGTAATTATAATCTGAAGACTACATTAAATAAAATTGGACGGAGTGCTCGATTGCGAATGTGAATAATTCAACGAATCGATGATTAACGAAGTATTGAACAGATATTGTATTTGACGCTGTTTATTAGTCACATCTACATCGGCGATGAAGGAGACAATTATCGACATGACATTCATGTTGATTTTCCATAATATGGATGCTATTCCTGATAGGATAATGAATATTTTACAGACACTTTGAAGAGCTTAGTCAAGGAGAAGACATAAAATTAGTTTTGACAAAGCTGCGATTTATTATATGACATTCTATTCTAAGATTCGTCTATTTTTTAAGAAAAAACGAAGAAACCTGAATATGTTTTAAACGAAAAAAGCTTTTCTTTTTTCGTTTAAAACATATTGTCTGAGAGAGAGAGAGAGAGAGAGAGAGAGAGAGAGAGAGAGAGAGATCTCATCTCTCAGACGTGATTCTGTATCATAAACATTTAGGATTGAGCTGATGATTCACGAGACACGTTATTATACTTAAAGTCACATTTAAATATGTCATTTGGCTGGACCTTAAATCACCTTTCGAAATAGAAAGGCGTTATTAATTCGTCTTCTTGTGTCTCAGACACGACAAATAAATTAAAAAATCGTGAAAAAATGAACGCCCATTATAGTATCTCGTTCGAAATCTGTGCGAATAAATTGGATTATGTATCGAGTTGAATTCTAGAGTGTGTAACATGCATAATGTACAGCATAATGTATATCTTAGTAAGATAAAAAACTAAGAATGTATATAACATGAAAATTTAAGATAGAAATAAATCAAATAAACGATTGTTTCAATAAATTCGTAGTTTTGCAAACAAAGCATATATAGAATTTAAAGAGTAACATATAGAATAAAAATGTTAAAAAGAAATTTAATTAATATAAAATGATTATTTCACACATTAGTTAAGTTCGGTATTTAAATAGATACTATTCTAAATTTAAATATCTTTAGAAAAATTTTGAAGGATATGTTTTATGTTATACATGTTTAGTCATTTTTTGTACGAAATATATTATAATCATCGCGTTATTATATCAAGATGATGTAAGATTTTCAATTTGATCAAAATACGAAAAACTGCCTGTTTTTTTAATCACAGACCAGAACGTGACCACGATAACGAATCGACAATACTCATCTGCTAGACAACGTTTCGTCACGTCACGTTCCTCGTATATTATTCCTAATCTTAACGAAAACAAGTAACCGAGATCGTCTCTTCTTCCTAGCTATAGATTATGGCAATTTCGCGATAGCGAGCAAAATAATTTAAAAAAGAAATCTTAATGTCGTAACTGTTACGTTCTGACGTTACTTAACGATATTTTTAGCTTCACGTCTAAATATTGAAATATGTATATTTTTGAAAAACCACGCCAGAAACTAAAGAGATCGATGACAAAGACATTCGGTTAATACAGCTACATTTAAATTAGCACTTTCGTTTATGATAAAAGTCCTATTATCCGTCTCGATAATTTAAATTCTCTGATATAATCATGCTGTTCGCCAATCAAAGTCCCGTGATCGCAGTGCGGTTAATTTCTTCCGGTCGTTTTTATTTCCATGTGACTGTCTGCACCTGTGCATGTGCTAATTGCGGATCGCGAAAGACGGCGAATCTATATGCGGCAGGCAAAATGGGAACAGTGCTTTCCATGACTAAACGAGGTTCCAAACGAGGCGAAACGTGAAACCGTAGACGAGGAAATTCCATGGATCGATCTAATTCGCTTGCAACGAGGGGTGTTTTATAGACGAGTGCCCAATAGGGAGCTCCCAAAGAAATTCACGAAAAATTTATTTCGCTAGCTGATGGAGTGTTCGGACGAAACACGCGATGATGCACGCGACTGCGATTTGCAGCACTGCAGCCCGCCAGTCGCCACACGCAACCACCCGTTCGTTTTGATGTTAAAGCGTGAACCGACGACCTCCGTTACACTTATTTCAGACTTAGATTTACATTTTTATGCAACAACTTGCCACGATTTGCGAAACAATCATCAGCGTGCTTCATGCTTTCATTGATTGAATATAAATTCAACAGATGGAAAAGAGCAATTTTTTAAATGAATAGCAGATTATAAATAAGAATGGAAAATTGAAAGAAAAATTAGACGAAAAAAGAGAAAGATTGAAAAAAAATTTATTGATTGTTAAATTGCGCATCAATTACTGCGCTGCACTCTCATCAGCCCTTTCGCAATTTCTCCCTTTTAAAAATTAGATGTTTTTCTATTGTATTTTTTTTTAATAGTAATGTGCATGAATTTCTCTCTTTCTCTTTTATCTAGACGACATTGGATATAAATATTGTTCAATCCGAAAAAGGCATTTTTTTTATAACTTTGTTCTTATAACTTTCTTTTTATAAGTTTGTCGCATTTACATATTTTAGGCACTAAGAAGATGGAATACAAGACCAGACAATGGCACGAGAAGTGCTTTTGCTGCGTGGTCTGCAAGAATCCGATTGGCACGAAGAGCTTCATCCCGCGCGAGCAAGAGATTTATTGTGCCGGATGTTACGAGGACAAGTTTGCCACCCGGTGTGTTAAGTGCAACAAGGTGGGCCACTCCTCTATATCGATGATTACTTCGTATGTCGTCTTGCGTTCGTTTATTGCGTGTCGCGCAAAAAACTCATCGAGCGTAACAAGCGAATCAAAACCGGGATTTCATTGTGAGATCATAAATCTCAATCCGATAAACTCGCTGATATCGCTATTTGCGTATTGATGCTTTGTGTACTTCATAAAATAAAACGGTCAATAATATTCAATATTCATTTAATTCATATAAACGTATCAGTCACTGAATTACAGACGTTCTTTTATTTTCGACGAATTCTGCATGCTTTTAAATATCTCCTTTTTAACATTCTTCTAAATTTTTCATAGTCACTCGCAATCTTTGTGGAACTCGTTTCTATATTGGTGCGCATGATGTCACTTCAAGTCATTTGTCAAATGACTCTTCAACTACACATATATTGCGTCGATATCGCTTACTTGCATCAATATTTCTCCTTGTTTACTTTTTTTTTTATATTTTGTATCTTATATATTTCTACATAATATATTAATATATATATGTATATCATATATATATAGACATATCCTTTTATCTCTTCTTCAACTTGTGCTTTTATTTGTGTAGTCAATCGATTCTTGTTACACTATAATATATTCCCCTAATTTTCTTTAAATTACGTTTCGAGGAGAAATTTTTAGAAATAAGTAAGCTTTATTAAATATTATCTAAAAAATGCGAATGAAACTCGTAATGAAATGTAACAGTTCGATGAAGCGACTTGTCCCATAAAATGTCATGAACTCTTTGTCACAGATCATCACCAGCGGCGGCGTGACATATAAGAACGAGCCATGGCACAGAGATTGCTTCACTTGCAGCAACTGCAACAACTCGCTAGCGGGACAACGATTCACGTCGCGCGACGACAAACCGTACTGCGCTGATTGCTTCGGCGAGCTCTTCGCCAAGAGGTGCACCGCTTGCTCCAAGCCGATCACTGGTGTGTATTGTCTTTATGTAATTATTAGTTATTAATAAAAAATAAAATTAAAGAATAAAATATGTTGAAAGAGTTGAGAAATTAAATCTTCTAAAAAATCATCAATTTTGACGATTTGCTTATTATTCGACCATAGATCTTTTAGTGAATATATGTGCGTCCACCATTAGAATCAATTCCCAAAAAAAATACACAAATATATACAAGCACAATATACAAATATCAATGAACAGCTGAAATTAAACTCAATCCGAGTGTAATTTGCATTGATTAATTTGCAGGTATTGGTGGCACTCGCTTCATCTCATTCGAAGACAGGCACTGGCATAACGACTGCTTCATCTGCGCGGGCTGCAAAACTTCGCTGGTCGGACGTGGCTTCATCACCGATGGCGACGACATCATCTGCCCTGAGTGCGCCAAGATGAAGCTGATGTAAAGCACGCGGCTTCATGACGTCGAGATTGACAACGAGATCGACGGATGGCAGAGCGAGCGAAGGGAGAGAAAGGATGAGGAGCAAGACGCACTTCCGATACGGAATTCGTATAGTCAAGCGGATTCCGTTGCACGCCATAATAATACCGTCGTCGCGATCTTACTGGCCGTCAATTCGAATTGGAGACGCATGCAAACTATAGAGAACTTCGCAGAGTCACATCGAGAGACGAGATCGCGAGAAGACGTAATAAAAATTATAAATATAAGAAAAAGAGTAGATTCTTCGCGTTAACGACGCGATAATTTTTGTTACGAATAACTGACGTATTTCGACGAGATTTTCTGCGCCGACTTTTTTTCAGAGGATAACGAAGCTCGAGAATCCTCTGTCCAGGTTCTCGCCTTGGTCAGCATAGTGATTTCATGATCGCCGATTAATCGTTCGGAAAGGAAGACGGCGCGAGAGAACGCGCGAGAGTCTTCTAGCTTCATAGTCGTAGCGACATTAATCTATTCATTATTTCGTTCTACGTGTATTTATGAGAACACTGACGCGAATCCGTCTGTGTTCGAAATAATGATCTGCTCGATCATCGCGTCGGGATATCGAAGAGTAGAAGAGATATGAATGGGAGAGAAGGGAAAAAAAGAAATGCGCAACCAGCGAGCTTGATGGAAAGAAATCAAATCGCCTTACTGTAATAAAATCGTTGATACGGACACGTCGATTAGGATAATGAATAAGCCTAAGTGCTCCGCGTGCTCTCGTGATGTTACTAATATTAACAACATTTTTTTTTTTTTGCTTTGTACAATGGTAGAGAGATAAGCGCCCGTGTGCGCACAAAGAGAGTCCTACATATTATATATTCTTATGAAAAACTAAAATTTGATATATACGTATAGCGATGTTATTTCTATTCGACTCGTACTCACGCGAAAAACACGACGGTCTAACACGTACACAATCTATATCTCACACCGACACTAATTTACTCGATTGACACATCATAACTTTTTTTCTCTTGCCTTCTTTGTACGATGTTGTTCATCTAATTTCCGAATAAATAGTACTACTTATCAATTTGTAGAAACTTTATGAAAATTTTGTACGTGAAAAATGCAGAAAATCTGTTACCGATTTTCCATATACTAAATAACTATTTTCCAAAACTTAATATGTATAGGTAATATGTATATATATTCAGATTTGAATGAAAATTATTTTAATGCTCTTGAAATCGGTAGGATGAAAATTTTTTTATTATAAACAAATTTATTGATTTCTACAATGCGTTACACACAGGATATGATAAACAATATGTATGTGTTTTGATTCACGATATCCCGACTCTCTTCTCGGTCTTTCTCTCCCCTTCTCTCGTTTGTCGAGAAAAATAGGCGCGCAACGTAGGGATCCATTATCATCCCGTGTGAATCGCATGCGCGCGCGCGCACACAGCACACATACATACATACATGCACGTGACACAACAAATATATACACATGCACGATACACACACATACACATATACACATGCTGCAAACATTTTTTGCAATAGATATTAAGAGTTTTGATCAAAGAAAAAGATACGACAAAAAAGGGACAAGGCTCGCATCCATACACATGCATGCATACACACAAGCATAAAAAAATATACACTCACATACAAATACACATACGAACGAGTGTGCGACGAACGCACACGCGGAAATACTAATTGTGGCCTTATTCGCACCGAATACCATAGGAGTAAAAAAAAAGGGAACTAACTTACAGTAATTTACTTCATTATGAGACATTTAATATCAAATTTATTGTTATACAACGCGAACAAAAGTAAGTGTAACGCCGCGCGAACCGAGTCCACGAACACGGAAACTACGAGACCAATTCGAACCACGAATTGTTAATCGCAACCAATATAAGTCACACACGTGCTATAATATAATATTGTATGTTATCCGACGGAGTCACTTACACACACTAATCGCCTTAATTAGTAAACGATAAAAAAGAGATTATTCTATATTCAGCGTATCCTATACACTGTTACACTGTAAAATTGATAAATAAATAAATGTAATTATTTACGTGGGAGTCTTGTATCCCATCTCCTAAAAGTTATCGACAATTCTTTGGGAATTGAGAATGCTTATAGAGAAATGCAACGATAATGCGTTTCTCCATAAGCATTCCTCTACAAGCAAGTACAATCATCGTTATTAATTATCAATTCATTTATCTTATAATTAATAAAATCTATAATTTCTTATAATATATTTTTAACGTTAACAGAAATATGTCATATAAATTAGTAATTATTTAATATATTAATTACAATAAAACCAACCATTTAATACATTAATAGATACATAAGAATTCAAATATAAATTTAAAGAAAATTGCGAGTTTTATTTACTTTGTATAAAATTATATTTTTTAATAGAACTAGAATGTCCACACCGCTATTTTCTGAAGTCGAAGATTTTTCAATAGATTATAGTTCATGATAAGAAACAATATACATAATATGCATCGAGATATTAAATCGATAAAAAAAGAAATATAATTACATAATCAAATCTGATTTCATATACTTTTTTTGAAAGTAGATATGTGATTTACACGTACAGAATTAATTCTTTAATTTAATTATATTATTTGCAAAAAGTCAGGAAATAATATTAATAAAATATAATCATTTGCAAGTTTTATTAATTTAAAAATCAGAATAACAATTTTAGCACATTTTTATTTTACAGTTATAGAACTATGATACGATCAAATTGATTTAATTAACGATTTGTCAGTACAAGTTTATCGTATCGTATGATATTGACTAAATAGATTAATGCAAACAGAAATATATAATTAAATATCTGATGACGTATTCTGCTGCCATCTAACAGATTAGGTAAAATCATTTTCTGCTGATGATCTACCTACAGATATAAAATTTAGTTTCCTTTTTCTTCTGTAGATGTCTATACTGTTTCCTTAAGCGTTATAAAACAAGAATAAAAATTATAATTAAAAAATTATTATAATTTTGTAATTAATATATATGTCCTTATATAATTAATTTATATAAATTTTAAACTTTTTTAAATATTTTGTCATAATAAAAACGTTAATGATTATACTTTTCAATTTAAATCAATGCTAACAACAGACAAAGTTTTAATAAAATTAATTCAATTTCCATTAAATTGAATTAAATTTTTAAACGACGTAAAAAAATGCATAGGAATATCATGAATAATGTACATTGGACGATATTCTCGTTCAATGTAACAAATCTGTAATTTTTTATTCTATTAATTATTTCATGTTTTCTTCTTCTCACTTAATTTCAGCAATTTGTACAAAGATTAAAGACTAATTTCCATACATGGAGGCATGAATCGCAAAAGTAGGAACTCATTTTGCACAATTGGATATGTGCAGGGTCACCATAAATAAATCCGCGTCGAAGTTCATCATCGACATTAAGATCGTGTTGTCGGAGGTCACACAATAGGTCAATGCACGCTCAACTCTCCTGCGTGACAGTGTGCCACCCATTGGATGACGACCTCCAAATTACAATTGCTTCACTAGCTCCGACATCAATTTATCCAAGTCCACTTACAATGGCTCTTTTACACCACACGGGGCCCCTAGGCATTGCGGAATTTCAAGGACTCCGTAAAAAATGGGAGATACCTTCCAAGAAAATATTCGTGAGTTTATATGTGAAGTTTATGAATTTTTTTCACAAAAAGCTTTAATTATAAATTATAACATTAAAAAATCATATTGCAGCTTCTAATAATTATTTTTTGTTTTGATATGTCTTAAGATCATGTACTGCCTAAATCTGTAATATTACAATTTTGTTATCTTTTATCACGTCTCTTCACAAATAGAGTATATTAAATTGAAAAGTCTGTCATTTAATAAATTTTTTCTATATTTCTATTTTTTTCACAGGAAACTATTTTCAAAACAATTAAATAAAAACGTAATGTTTCAAGTTTCTAAGATTTTTTTCTTTAAGCTAACGTAAATCAAAATGTAGAAAAATAAGTACTTTTCATATCTACGTTTCTAAGTCAGATTATTTCCAAAAAAGAGATTTATTTTCCATTTTAATACAGAATGAGTGAACTCGAACTCGGTCTTAAAATCTCTCTCTCTCTCTCTCTCTCTCTCTCTCTCTCTCTCTCTCTCTCTCCGTATAAAAGCGTTGACAATAGTTTTAGAATGACGATTCTCTATGTATGCTACCGTTTCTGTTAAATTAATCTCCTTTTCGAAGTTATGCTTCCCATCGTGTTTAAATCTGCCGACAGAACGACCGCGCGTTCGCGATACAGAGTTGTTCCGTAGATGTAGCGAACGCCTGTACTAAACGTTGTAAGCCAAATCCCGCGAACAGTTCTGAACAGAACTGTTAATTACACGCGGGTACCCATACACGCATACTCGTGGGCACGTACACGAGCGAACGAGCACCGCACTCGGGGTAAAGTGAGGTCGATGGAAAGTGGTATAATCGCGAATGTGGATCGACTCAAGGAGAGCAGAGAAGAGGAGATCCTTTACCTTACTTATGTAACGAGCAACCATGGTGGTGTCTCGTGTCTTCGACCGCGTCCGAAGAGGGAGAGCGAGAGCTCTGCCTCTCTCCTCGGAGAGGCTCTGCCGGCTCCCTCGTTCTCTCTTCTCCGTCCTCCTCGTCTCCCACGAACGTCACCGTTCGCCTTGACTCTGTCCCGCTCGTGCTACGCTCGACACTGTCCCTGAAAATCCCTCCACGGAACTCGTCCACGCAAGCGCGAGCTTAATAGGCATTCGCTTGTAATTGTAATTATTATCGAGCCAACGAACAAAGGGATATTCGTCACGAGCTCTGCATATTATCTCTCTCTCTACTACATAAATAATTAAAAATATTTCAGAAACACGTGAGGGAGATCGTTCATGAGAATTTGTGTAATTAATTTGTTTCGCTTAATAATCAAATTTAAAAAATGCTATTATATAAATATTATTTAAACAATATTTAAATACATATTTCGTCTTATTTGCTATTTTTGTTACATTTAAATATGTAGATCATGAACCTCTTTTGATATGCTTAAACATTATTTGATATATTTAAGTTTTCTAAATATTAAATACAAAATAATGTAATTCCGGAGAGGACGGAACACTGCAGCAGAATATATGTATAATAACACGATAAATTGCCTCTGCATCTTCATATATGTCAGCTTGTATGAGAACTCTCGTAAACCGTCTTTATCCCAGAGGAGACGGCAGAGCCTCGGATGCTGTCCACTCGAATCCTAATCTTGCTCCTTGTGTCTTTGTGGACTTTGGTCATGACGTTCCTCTCTTGGCCCTCTCCAGAATCTAATAGACATAACGTTACATCCTCGGCAGGCTGATTTGTACTGCAGCGGCTTCGTCCGTTTCTCTTCTGTCATCTCTCTTTTTTGATACATTTCTCATGTCCCTCCCGCGCCTGTCTCCCTTGGATATATGTTTGACATCGGAATCTCGAAGAACGATTGTTAAATCTTCAATCTCGGGGTCAATGGCATTTGCCGTGCGGTCTTGTGCCTCTTCCTTGATATAAATAAAAATCATTACTTTTTTTTCTTTCGCACATCGAAAAGACCAAGAGAAACATTTCCAAACCGCAATCACTCAATTTCCTCCAAATCTGATAAATTTGTGGAACAAACAAAATTATTTTCAAAGTATTTTTTGCTACCCGTAAATATTGAAATTTAAGGATCGATGCTATTTAAACTAATCGGTTTAATTGCGTTCATTATGGCACCAAAAGTAGAGAAATTCCTGCTCTCACATAATCTCTTGTGTAAAACAGATTTAAATTAACGTCAGAAATATCTCAAAAATATCTCTCATGTTTACAACTTATCGTTGTAAATTAAAGATAAAATAATCCGGGGAAAAAAACGTCCGTCCTGAGACGTCAATGTGACGAACTACAAAATGTTATATTTCCGCTTTTTCTACAAAAATCCAAAGCCTCGGCAAAGCCATGACGCACAAGCAATCTATTTTCAAGGAATTATTTTTATTTTTAATCACTTTCCATGGTTGCACGTGGTTTTATAAGTGTAGTTCGCTATGAAAATTCCCCACGCTTCCAACGTCAATACCGGGATCGGCTGCGACTGCCGTTTTAAATTTTTACAAATCGATCCGAGTGGAGAGGCAAATCGGCTCAACGGGGAGCGAGGCGAATAAAAAGCCGCCATACTGTTGTAGCGGTGTTATTCCGACGCAAGATGATTTCGACACCGAAAACGGGGGCCGTTGTTGTCGGAGGTCATTCGTTGGTTCAACGCTCGGGCCATTTACCTGTCCGCCAACTCGAATCCTTGGCCGCTGGCATTGCGGAGAGCGATATTAGCATCCCGCTTGCGGGCGACTATTGTAACACCTCGGAGACAGAGGGACCGACGTAGAAAGGCATGTCATAAGCAAATCATGAGAGAGGCTAGGTATTAAAGATGAATATTAGACGCAATAACGAAGAAACATTTGTTCCAACAAAACTTGCGTATTAATGTCAGCAGAAAGTAAAAATACCAAAGTAGCCATAATCATTAGAGACATGTAACGGTAAAATAGTGAAAGTAATCATAAATTTAGTAAAAAAAAATCCAAGATACACTTAATAAATAACGTTTAATTTATTTTACGTTCTTATTTTACGTTAATATCTTTTATTGTATTTAACTTCGTAATTCCTTTAAAATAATATTTGTATTGACTTCGTTAAAGAGTCTTATTGAATCTCTTTAATC